TACTCTGCCTGTAAGACTGTCAAGGTTCTGGGGGCTGGGGGTTTAGCTCAGCGGCATAAGCGCCTGCCTTGAAAGCAGGCAATCGTGAGTTCGATCCCCAGTACCTATAAAAAGGAAAAAGACCAAAAAAAAAATAAAGAAGAAGACTGTCAAGGTTCTTCGCTGTCAAAATTTAGGCTGTCAAAATTTAGGCTGGCTAATTTAGGCAGAAAGGGATTTGCTGGAAGGACATTGGCTAGTACCCAAGGGAAGACAAGAGCCCCACCCTTAGAAAACAGCAGGCATCCAGGGATAGGTGACTGAGGAGCCAGCAAGACCATGACCACAGTAAGATCCAGTTAGTGCTATATTGCAGGCACCATGCTTCCTAGCCTCTAGATACTGGCCCTGCCTCCCATAAGATTTGCACTTTGGGGGCTCTCCCAAGGCTGGGCTGGGTTCAGCACCCTCTGAATTGTCATATTCTCAGGTTAGGCCTTCCAGGGGCTTTTCAATTCCCTTTTTTCTCCCCTACACTTTTCTCAGTTGCCTAGAGAAGTTTGGAGATAACAACCAATATACTACACAAACAGAAGTCATCTCCTGACTACCTTTAAAATATACAGTTAGTTGTGGTAGTTCATGGCCATATCCTAGCAGTTGGGAGGTTTCCTAGCACTTGGAAGGTTAAGGCAGGAGAATCATTGAGTTTGAGGCCAACCTGAATTATAAAGTGAGACTCTGTCTCAAAAAAAAAAAACAAAATAATGATAATAAGTAATGAAAATAATAATCAAATGTAGAAACTAGGCTGAGGTACTGGTAGAATATGCGCTAAGCGTACATGAGGCCCTGGGTTCAATCCCTGTTCTAAAATGGGAAAAAAAGAGGACTGAAATACAGGCAAATATTATATTTAGCTCTACTGGATGGGCCATGCCAGAAGACCACAGTACACATTCTTGGCAAAGGCTGCCCTCAAATGGTTATTCTTATATTGGAGTCAATAATAAATGGTACATACAAGGGAGATGTTAAATTCTAACTTGTAATGCCTTTGAAAGTTTAAAGGGCTTTGGGCCATAGCACTAGACCAATGGACAGAAGCCCCAAGAAGTACAGTTTTGGGGTAAAAACATGAAGAACTTTGTTAAGATTGTGCCTGCCTTCTAATCATTAACTGAGTCTCAAGAATTCACATTAACAAAGATACTTAGGGGCTAGGGAGATAACTCAGCAGTAGAGCACTTGCCTGGTATATACAAGGTCTGGGTTCAATTCTCAGCACCAGAAAAATTAAATTAAAAAATAGATACTTTATAAAAATATGTGAAATACATTGTGATCTCTCTTCTTTTGGTTTTTTTTTTTTTTTTTTGTCTTTTTCATTTTTTATCGATACCAGGGATCGAACTCACGACTGCCTGCTTACAAGGCAGGCACTTATGCCGCTGAGCTAAACCCCCAGCCCCTGTTTTTTGTTTTTTTGAGACAGGGTCTTGGTATGTAGTCCAGGCTGTCATTGATTATATAGCCTAGGTTGTCTTTGAATTCACAGCCATCTTCCTGCCTCAGTCTCCTGAGTGCTTACATTACAGGTGTCTACCACCATGTCCAGCTGATACTATGATCTTTCTGTGAAGATGACTGTTCTTTCAGAAAGAAAACTCAGGGCAGGGGGTTTGGCTCAGTGATATAAGCACCTGCCTGACAAGCATGAGGTTATGAGTGTGATTCCTGGTACCAAAAAAAGAAAGAAACAAAACTGAAACATGAGTTCAAGGCTAGCCTTAACGACATAGTAAGACCTGTCTAAAAAACAAAAACAAAGAGAGAGAGAGAGAAAGAAAAAGAAAGGGAAGAACCAAGTACTGGGTAGGACCTCAGGCCCAAATCAAATAAAACAATGCTATGATTTTAACCTGCACTAGACAGATGGAGACATAGTACTCACACCTCCCCACTCAGAGAATAACAATAAACTGTATCCAGCACAAACTGTATTTACTTTCTTGTAGGAGTAAACTATATCGGTACTGCTGTGAAGCCTGCAGCTGAGTGAGGTGGTACTGAAAGTGACAGGGAGAATGCAGGTGCTCAAGGTCTAGAGAGCCCTCTATAACTGAAAGGGCAAGGAAAGGCTGTGGTACAGGTCCCTCGGCCTTGATGGGCACTTTTGCATACTGACTGTCATGCTGGTAGTGCAAGCATCTACCTGTGATGAAGATTTAAGGCCAGGCACACACAAAATAGAGTGTGTAAACACTGTTTCACTGGAAGAAGTAAGGTCTGTGTCTGGGACCCATTTCTGTCTTTGGATAAAGCACTGCAGCCAGGTCAGATGTTACCAGCCAGAGACAGAGATGCTGTAGGGCAGCACTATTTCTGTAACATTTTTGGACGCATAATTAATTCAAAATAAAAAGTTAAAAAAAGAAAAACCTTTAGCAAGGGGTGTGGTTAGAGGTTCATACAAGTTCATACAAGTTCAAGAGGAAGAACCAACCTTCCACAGGCAGCCCTGGTTAATGCCTCAAAGTCACCTAACTATGAAGCTATATATTTTGCTCCAAAAACAGGAACTTTTTTGTTGTTTTGTTTTATTTGTTTTGGGAAGAATATCGATAATAGCAAAGTTTTATAGTAACTTGAAGAAGATATATGAAAAGGCAGCCAGAACCTTGGCATGCTACAGTTTTCTGTTTCAAAATAATTACTGACTTCCTGAACACGACCCATTGTAATAATTTCCCTTTCCACAGTGTGTGTGTTGGTGGGAGGATACCACATAACTCATTTATAATGATACCCCAAAGCACTCAGAATACAAAACAAACATTCATTCAAGAAGGGTCACATAAAAAAAAAAGAGAAGGGTCACATAAGCCAGATTACATGGTGACAAATAAATGTCAAAGAGACAGTGCTCAGGAGCTGGGGATTTAGCTCAGCGGCATAAGCGCCTGCCTTGCAAGCAGGCAGTCATGAGTTCGATCCCGGGTACCGATACTAAGGAAAAAGACAAAAAAAAAAAAAAAAAAAAGAGAGAGGGTGCTCTTACTGCTAACCATCCTCCACACAGGCTTTAATGAGCGTTTAAGTCAGATAAGGCACCTTTAGAAAATTAAAATGCTGATCAGAAATCCTTCATAAGATCCACAGAATTCCTGGGTAAGACTTCCCTGGGAACTCTACTTTACCACCAGAAAACAAGGGTTGTTATTAAGATCTCAAAAGCAATCCCTGTACTGATTAAAAAAAAAAAATCTCCAAAGCAACACAGTCATAGTCAGTCAGTTCACATTTCACCCAGTTTGTAAATAAGGACAGCATGAGACAGCTGCAAAGATTTTCTCAGCAATGACAGAAAGATATTTTTTTCTGCTGTGGTCCTTAAAAATACCTGGAGCTTTAACCCAAGCTTCAGAAGGCTGATCTGTCTGCCCAGAAAATTCTTCATGGATTCTAGGTCAGGGAAACTTAGGCCAGGCACTGTCCCTGCTGTATTGCAGCATTTATATTCAACCACAAGAGTCCGGCCATTTGGCAATTAAACAACAAGAAGCTGAGCAAGCTAATAACCGTAACAATCTCAGTGTTAACCTACAGCTTTTGACAGGTAAGTGGGCCCTCAGTGACTCTTTTTTATCTTTCAGGTTGTACCTGGCTTTCTTGGTGTTCTTTCTGGTACAATGCAAGAACACTGTCAAAGTAATAAACCATGAAGAAAGTCTATGCTCACCAGATTCCCTACAAGGCTTCATTTTTCAGTCCTTTCACCTCCTGTATCTCAAAGCCTCTCAAACAGCAAAGTGCCAGAACTGTCTAGCTAACCTGGCAGAAAGAGGTGCTCAGGGGACATGATCTAGAGGCTCTGGCAGCGGGATACAAAATTCTCTTTCCTGATGGGACTAGAAGCTTCAGAAGTCCCACGGGGTGTGCATTCATTCTTCACGGCCACTAGGAGCCAGCAGAAGTCTCAGAAGTAGAGGCAGGCAGGGCTGGGTGGGGTACCCACAGCATTGTGCAGAAGACAACGCTCTTCTTCAGGTGAATCAGAGGTAATGCTGCCCACCCTATTCATAACACACAAGGAGCTCAATGTATGCCACACTACCCCAACAGCTCAACAATAAGGGGTTTGAGGTTTCTCCCTAAACTAAATTGTTGTTTTCATGCACTTCAGGTATTTTTCTAAATTGCAACTCTGTTGTTAGAGTCCATATAAACAGGGAGTGAGAGACACATACAGAGTATTTCATGTCTAGGGCTGGGGGTATGGCCCAGCAGTTCAGTACCTGCCTGGCAAACACAAGGTCCTGAGTTTGATTCCTGGTACAATTAAAAGAGAAAAAAAAAGAGTATTTCACATCAAATACCAAGATGAAATGTCAAATCACAATTTTTTTTTGGTACCCAGGAACTTCACCTCTAACTTGACAGGCAGGTGCTTGTGCAGCTGAGCTAAATCTCTGGCCCAAATCACAAATTTTAGACAAATGATATCCTTGGTATCAAATGTCTAGTAGTCCATTTTCTAGGACAGGAATGACCCACTGCCAGTGGAAAAGAAAGGAGCTTGTGAAAATTCCAACTAAAGGATAACACATGTGCTCTATTACAGCAAAATCTAGGGTGAGAGCTAAGATCTAAGGTGTGGTACACTCTTATAATGCAGTCAGGAGGGAGGCTGAGACAGGGGAGATTCAATAACTCAAGTCTGACTTCAGCAATTTATGGAGATCCTGCCCCACACCCAGACAGCCCCTGGGTTTGATTCCTAGATTTGGGGAAAAAAAAACCCAAGTCCTAGGGGACCGATAACATGTGCTAAAATCAAGCAACATATACATATATATATATATATATATATATATATATATATATAGAGAGAGAGAGAGAGAGAGAGAGAGAGACTAGCTATGTAATTCACACAGGCATATATGTGTATATATATATATATATATATATATATATATATAAAAGAGAGAGAGAGACTAACTATGTAATTCACGCAGGCCTTGAACTTTTTTTTCACAAATTTCTGTGTCATCTTTGTGCAGGAACCATACTAACCTTCTCTCTATTGTTCCAATTTTAGTATATATGATGCTCAAGTGACCACAGCCCTTGTAGGTGAGGTTGACCTCCAACTTGAAGCAATCCTCCTACCTCAGTCTCATGAGTTCTGGGATTACAAGTATGCACCACCACAACTAGCACTTTTTTCTTTCTCTCTTTTGTATCAAGGTTTTTGTTTACTTCTACCCCACCCTCATACCATGGTAGTTTTGAGGAAAGAAACTAAAAATTCTTCCCCTATTGTCATCAACTAGAATTTTCTTCTATCAATTCTGAGCTTCTGAAATGGTAACCATATATCTTGCCTTACTCTCATGCAAAACAAAACAAAGGAAAACATAAAGGAAAGAAAATGAATCAATATGATATATACTGATTAAAGTGAAAAATGTGACTCAATGCCATGTCTAGTGATACATACTATAATCCCAGCTATGCAGAAGGCTGAAGCAGGAAGATCAGGTTTGAGGCAAAACCCTGTTTCAAAAAGAGTCAGGCATAGTGGTGCATGCCTATAACCTCAGAACTCAGGAGGCTGAGGCAGGAGGATCTCAGACTTTGAGGCCAGCCTGGGCTTTAAAGTGAGTTTAACACAAGCCTAAACTGTATAATGAAACCCTCTCAAAAAGACAAAAGAAGAAAAGAATGGCTAGGGTGCGTAGCTCAGTGGGTAAAGCACTTGTTTAACCTGTACCAGAGTTAGCCGAATATGGTGGCACACACCTGTAATCTCAGCACTTGGAAGGCTGAGGCAGGAGAATTACTGCAAGTTTGAGACCAGCTACGGCCACAAAGTGAGCTCAAGACCAGCCTGTACTGCATTGTGAGATCCTGTCTCAAAAAGACAAAAACAAAAAAAGAAAACAAACAAATAAAATGCACACCAAAGTTTGAGTTCAATCCCAGAAAAACAAAGTGGCTCACAGGATAATGTAAAGTAAGATGATCCCTGAATATGGTTGTTCAAAGAGACTACTCCCTGGCATTATGGAGCTATCATGAATTTAGAGACTTAGCCAGTACTCTGTTGAAGGCCACTGGCACTGGGGCTGCCACACCTGTCCCAGGAACCAGGTCCAGAGTGAAAACCCTGATTATGGGAAAGAGCAATAAAATTATGCAACAGTTTATGAAGCTCATTAACATTTCAAGAAGGCAGGAACACCACAGTATATGCAGGAAGGACACAAAAGGTTTTTCTATTTTCTCCAAGAGTTCTTTCTCTAAGAACAGTTTGTTGCCTTGGAGAAAACAGAAAATAAAAGTTTTATTACTAGGCTTCTTTTTTAAATTAGGGAAAGTATAAAACTCCAGATAAGACAGAATGAAAAAAGCATCGGAACAAATAATAGGCAGATCTACAGTTTATATCCTGCCCCCACCCATCCTGTACTGAGGGTAAAACTCAGGGCTGCTGAATAAAAGGGAAAAGAGGGGCTGGGGATTTAGCTCAGCAGCATAAGTGCCTGCCTTGCAAGCAGGCAGTCCCTGAGTTTGATCCCCGGTACCAACGAAAAGGAAAAAGTCAAAAAAAAAAAAAAAAAAAAAAAAAGGAAAAGGAAAGATCACCTTGCTGCCCTAGCACTACATATTGACAAGGCAATAGTCATAAGATCTGGGTAAGAGTAGCACAGATTTTCTTTTAGTTGGGAAGCAGCTACCCTAATTCACACTCAGGTTACTATTCTAAATCAGGAATCACTTGGGACAGAGTGCAGTATCTTGTAACTTGCCATGTATTCACTGGACATTTGTGCTTTATCTGTGAGTTGCCTGCTCATAACCTTTGGCCCCCTAACTTGTACTCTGACTTGACAAGTAAGGAATATGAATTCTTAGCACTCAAGGCCAGTCCTCCTGCCTGAAGTCCACTCTATTTAGTCCTCCAAGGAACAGCTTAAACAGCACAAACCCTTTGAGAAGGTTTTATGAATCCTGCTGACTTTGGTTTATCACCTTCCACCCCAGGGAATGAAGTATTTTTCTTTTAAAGCTCTCCTCATAGTCATTTTACCTGCCAGACTGAAAACCATTTTAATGTAGGAGGATGTCTGCTGTGTCCCACACACATAGCTGGCACTCAGATATCAGTTAAACAGACACAAGAGAATCTTATGGAACATTTCTCTAGACAAAAAGATGAATACATTAGGCACAGTGGTTCATGACTGTAATCCCAGCACCAAACCAGGAAGATTGCCCAAGTTCAAGGCCAGTCTGAACTACATGGCAAGACCTTGTCTCAAAAAACAAAAAGAAATAGTAACTCACAGTCATTCTCTTTGCTCCCAGACTTGAATCTTCACATCAACCCTGATCTATAATCACTAACCAGTCTAACAGTAAGTGTGTCCAAATGCCAGTTTCTACAAACAGACATGCACCCAAATGAATTAAGATTATTATGTAACTGGTATTAATGCCAAGACTGGTCCATGTATTTGACAGCAGTTCACTACAAGGTATTGAAAGGTCAATGAGACACCATAACCCACACAAGGATGATGGAGACACTCTGCCATGAAGTTTATTTGGCGCAGAGTAGGGGTCGTCTTGGGGACAGAGAGTGACCTGAAGGGAGGGTCATGGGCTTATAAACCTGAAAACCACAGCAGGGGGAGGAGGGGATGGGTGCTTGGGCCAGAATAGCTTTCCAGGGAGGCACAACAGGTACATTTCGAGGTAGAGCTGTGTAAACCAGGAACATCTCAGTGGGCACTGTAGTTTTTGTGAAAGTATGTAGAGGTCTTTGTGGTCAGTGTTGTCAACTGTCTGTGTGGCTGATTTTTGCTTCTGTGAAAGCTTTGGGGGTAGTTAAGCTGCATCCTCTAGCAGGCTTCACCCTTTAACCCCCTCCTCCCACTATCCAGAAGCTCGATGCCCTTTCAGGTATGTGAGAGACACCCACAAGAACCAGTCAGGCAGCACTGCACTGTTCAGCTGAGCAAAGCAGATATCAGACAATGACAGCTACAGTGTTAAGTTGCTTACAATGAACAACCCTTTTCTCTCTTCACCAACAATAATCTCAAAACAAAGAATAGGCCCACAGTCATTCTTGAAATATGAACAAATTTTTAAGGTCATGGCTCCCTGACAGAGGCAAAAGTATCACAAGAAATGCAGTCAACATAAACTCCTCTCTTTTATACAATTGAAAGGCTTCTAAGGTAATGGGGGATACCTTGCACCATTCTCTCTATAAAGTTGACAAGCTGGGCCTGGTAGCACAGGCCTGTAATCCTAACACTCTGGGAGGTTAAGGCAGGAGGATCTCAAATTAAAGTCCAACATGAGCTATTTAGTGAGACCCTGTCTAACATAATAATTTTGGGGTTTTTTTTTTTTTTTTGTCTTTTTTGAGACGGGGTCTCCCTATGCAGTTCAGGCTGGCCTTGAGCTCACTTGGTAGCCCAGGATGGTCTCAAACTCGCAACGATCCTCCCACTTCAGCCTCCCGAGTGCTGGGATTACAGGCATGAGCCACCATGCCCAGCTAACATAATAATTTTTTAAAAAAATGTCTAGGGGGACCAGGGATTTAGCTCAGCTGTGTAAGCACCTGCCTGGCAAGTGTGAGGTTGTGGTTTGATCCCTGGTACAAAAAAAAAAAAAAGAGGTCTAGGGATATAGCTCTGGTTGAAGGTCTTGAGTTCAAACTCAAATACTAGGAAGAAAAAAAAAAGGCTGAGGGAAGCCATGTATAGTGGCACATGCCTATAAACTCAGTACTTGGGAGGCAGGAGGATTGCCATGAGTTCAAGACCAGTCTGGGTTGCTCAGTGAGTTTAAGATCAGCCTACACTACAGAGATAGATCCTGTCTCAAACAAAAAACAACCAAAAATGAAAAACCTCCTAAAAACCAAAAATCAAAACCAAAAAATCCTAGAGACCAGGAATTTAGCTCAGTGGCTTAAGTGCCTGCCTTGCAAACATGAGGTCGTGAGTTTAATCCTGGTACAAAAAAAAAAAAAAAAAAAAAACCCTAAACAAAATAAACATCCATTATATAACTGCTTAAACTTTCACAAAACTAGATTACAGGCATGAGTCGCCATACCCCACACCCAGTTTAAAACTGGTCTTCATAAAACTGCCATATTTAGTGTATTTTATTCCTAGTATCATGTATAATATCCTTTATGAAATTTTAGCTTGTCAGGATGTCAAAATCATGTAAAATGTAGTGGTGCATTCCTATAATCTCAGCATTTAGGAAGATCACAAGTTTGAGGGTAGCCTAGGCTCTGTAGGATAGACCCCATTAAAAAAAAATTCAACTAAATAACCAGGAAGCAGATGCTGAGAGATACAGTGACTTGTCTCTTAAAGTAAGGCAGATTTTAGCATCATCAGAAGTGGGACATACTGGTTTCTAAGTAAAAATTACCAACTGTGTTGATCATTGGATAATGAATTCTCTACTTTTGTAGACTGTGAGGAATCTAAAGGCAAACACTAGTTTTTATTGCCTATTTCCCAGGATAAAGCAAAGTATCTATCATAGGGCAGAAAATAAACATAAACATCCATATGTCTGAATAAACATCTTTTTTTCCCCCTAGTATAATGGGAATCAAACTCAGGGCCTTAGTGCTATATATACACACACACATAACTACATAATGAGACCCTGTGTCAACCCTCCTCCAAAAAAAAAAAAACTAAGGCTCAAATGAATATTAGATTCAGAACTTCAACTGGAATTAAAGAATCTTCAACTGGAATTAAAGCATTTCTTCTCCACAGGGATGGTAAGTGGTTTTCAAATATGTTTACTAACTCTTTGCTATGTATCCCTTCAGAAGGTAAAGTTCTTTGCATTTTGAAATACTAACAAATAGCATGTGAAAGAGGCCTTAAAATTTCCAAAATGCACCACTTCTGGCGTGATGGTGCATACCTGTAATCTCAGCAACTGGAGAGGCTGAGGGAAAAGGATCACTATAAATTCGAGCCCAACTTGGGCTACACAGTGAGTACAAGTCCAGCCTAAACACACAGAAAGACTCAAAAAACAACACAACAAAAGCCCCAGATTTCCAAAATCAGATCATGCAAGATATGGTATCTATATGTGAGTGGTACATTCTTATAATTTCAGCAGTAACATTGGCAGGAGGATGGTTAAGTTTCAGTCCTGGCTTGGGCAACCTAATGCGATTGTCTCAAATAAAAAACAAAAAGGAGTCAGAGGTGGTCATGGTGGCACACGCCTATAATCTCAGCACTCAGGAACCGAGGCAGAAGGATTACCAAGAGTTCAAGGTCAGCCTGGGCTACAGAGCGAGTTTAAGGTCATCCTGAACTACAAAAGGAGACCCTGTTTCAAAAATAAATAAATAAATAAATAAATGAAAAGAAAAGAAAAGGATCTAGGGGCTGGGGATTTAGCTCAGCGGCATAAGTACCTGCCTTGCAAGCAGGTGGTCGTGAGTTGGATCCCCGGTACCGATAAAAATGAAAAAGACAAAAAAAAAAAAAAAAAAGGATCTAAGGTTCATATAATCCCAGTGAGTTAGGGCAAGAGGTGGAGCCATAAGATTTACAAATTTGAGTAGTGTTTAAAAAAAAAAATCTGGTGAGGTACCTCAGTGCAAAGGGCCAACAACACAAATGACTAAATATAAAAATTTTAAAAGGCTGAAGATGTAGCACTGTGGTAGAACATCCCAGGTTTGATACCTGGTACCAATAAATGAATAAATTAACATTATAATGGTTTCCACATCCTCCCAAACCCTTTTCTCTCTCAGATGACTAGCTATAAGGTAAGACTAGCTATAAGGTAAGAACAACTGGCCTAGGGGAAAGGCTATGAGCCCAGGAAAGAACTCCAACCACTAGCCTTGTGAGGAACTATCTTGGAATTAGGCCCTCTAGCCCCACAGGGGCAGTGAGCCACCAACACCTACCTACTGCTGAATTCTTGACTGGACATAAAGGTCAGCTGAAACTGTTAAATAAAGGTCACTTTAATCCATTAAGCTTTTTGCCTGTTACATCCCAGCAGATAATTAATACAAGGAAGTAATGGCCACAGGAATCTAAGAAAAAAGCCAGAACAAAGAAATAGTACACAGCCAGGCATGATGGTCCAGGTCGGTAATCCCAGCACCTAGGAGGCTGAGGCAGGAGGAATGCCATGCATCCAAGGCCAGCCTGGGATACATAATGAGGCCCTGTCTCAAAAACAAAACTTAAGCAGAGAAGACAATGAAGAGGGTGGAGAAAGAAAAGGAAACCCAATCCTGATTTCTTTCATGTCCTTGAACTTATTCTATTCTAGCTCCCTTAACTTTTCCTTCCATAGTGCAGAACTGGTTCTCATGGATTCTTCACTAGGGAGGTCCAATGGATCCCAGGGAGGGCAAAGCTGCCCAGCAGCCGTCCGTCCACCCGCAACCAGGGTCAGTCCCCACATTTTATGCCTCCCTCTTGTTTCTTCTAATTGCACGCTCCGCAGCTGCTCACTTATTTACTGACATCTCCAGAGAAACACATTTCGGGTTTCGCCGGATCCCGCGACTCCAGAGCTTCGGGAGCGGGGTGAAGCTGCCAGGGGTCACGAGACGACCCATCGCCGCCAGCTGGGCACGGCGTCAGCTTCAGCCGGCTCTTTGCCGAGCCCGGTTGGCCCCACGCCAGCGCGAGGCCGCGCCGCGAAACCCCAACGGGTTACCTCAGCCGATCTTCTGACGGGCTGCTCGCGACGGAGGCCAAGAGACCCAGAGCACACCTGGGTCCCTCTCGCACGACCAGACTCGTGAGCGCAGGCTCGGAGCCGACCTCAGAGACCACCAGCCACGGACCGGGACATCAAGGCGCTGAGGTGCGGAAGCCGAGGGGGAGCAATTGAGGGAGCGCGGGGCCCCGCCCCCTCGGGGGTCCGCCCCCTCTGGCCCCGCCCCGCCTCAGGCCTGACCTGACCCCGCCTAATACCCCGCCTCAGGCCAAACCCTGCCCCCGCCTTGTGTCACGCCCCCTGCCGGCGCGGATCACCTTTGTTCCTGCCTCAGGCCACCACCCACTGCAAGCTTCCTCCTCTCGCGCCACAGCCTCTGCTCCGCCGGGAGGCCCCGCCCCACAGGGCCCACTACCGGCGTCATTTCCGGTTGGAGATTAGTGGTGGAAAGGTAGTGGCGTCTGGCCAGTGGCTACCTGAGTGGGCTGAGTACGTTTGTCCTGCGGGCTCTGGCTGCCTAGCCGCGCTGTTGGGTAGTTTCCGTTCTGACCAAGTGGGGTTGCGTTAGGGCGGCGTGCTGGTGGTTCTCGAAAGAATGTGCCCCCCACCCCTCCTCCCAAACCTCGCTGGCGCCCCCGCGCAGGCTTCGGGAGACCTTAGAGGGCTGGGTCCACAGAGCAGCGCTGTCACGCGACGGCTGCATTGTGGGATAGTTCTTGCTGCCGGCGTGGTAACTGTTTGGGTATCTTCTCGCATACTTACAATTTCTTTCTCCACCTGGATGACCATGAGTCCCAGTGTCATTTATTAAATTATTTCCTCCTTTTCCAACAGTCTGCAGTGGCACCTGCCGTACCTATCTATGGTTTTTGTCGTTTTTGAGACAGGATCTCGCTATGCAGTTCAGACTGGCCTTCAGCTCACACTGTAACCCACAGGCTGGTCCTGAACTCACAGTGATCCCCTTGCCTCAGCCTCCCCAGTGCTGGGACTACAGGCGTGCGCCACCATGTCCAGCTTAAATCTGAATGCTTCTTTTGGGTAATATGCAGCTTCATTAATTTTATCCTAACGTTCGCATTGGGCATAGTGGATCCAAGATACTTATTTTTTTATTTTAAAGAGAAAATGAAATTTCAAAACACAATAATTAGGGGTTAACAATGGTATACACATTGTGTATTGTTACAAGATAGATTTCTTATTGTTTACTTTGCAGTAATCATGTTTGCACTTTTTTCCCCCAACGCCTCACTGACATAGCCAGGCTAGCCATTTGTTTTGAGACTGTATCGATGTGTAGTTCAGGCCTTGAGTTCACTGGGTAGTCAAGGCTGGCTGCAAACTGGCAGTGAACCTCCTGCCTCAGGCTCCTTAGTGAGGGGATTACAGGTTTGTGCCACCATGCCTGGCTTTTTTTTGTAGCCCTCAGTTTTAAGGGGTTAACAAACCAGTTGAGAGTTCAATTCTCCCCCCCCCCCCCATCTTTTTCCTTTTAATCGGTACCGGGGAATCGAACTCATGACTGCCTGCTTGCAAGGCAGGCGCTTATGCTGCTGAGCTAAATCCCCAGCCCAAACGAATTGAGAGTTAAACTGAGCTACATCCCCAGCCTTTTTTTTTTTTTTTTTTTTTTTTGGAACCCCAGCCATTTTTTAAAGACAAGGTCTTGCTAAATCGCTGACCTTTCAGGCCAATTTTGAATTTTTATCTTCCTGCCTCAGTCTCCCAGAGTGCTGGAATTGCAGACTTGGAATATCATGCCTATCTCAATCAGTTTGTTGTTGTTTTGTTTTGTTTCCTAAAACAGGGTCTCACAATATAGTTTTGTTTTTTTTTTTTTTCACCACTATACTAACGAGGATACAATATAGTTTAGATTGCCTTTGTGCTTGCTATGTAGCCCAGGCTAACCCCAAACTCCTCGATGATTATCCTGGTTGAGCCACCCAGCTGCTGCCCAGCTCAATCAGTCTTTTAAGGCAATAAAATTAATGTAATGTACCAAAAGATGGAAGGATGTGTAGTCAGCTCAGCTCTCAAAGACTGCAATCAGCAGAGATTAAAAAGCCAAAACCAAAATACTAATAATGAAATCATTAAAATCAAGTTAGGCATGGTGACATATACTTTTAATCCTAGCACTCTCCGGGCTGAGCAGGAGGATCACTTTAAATTTGAGGCCAGCTTGGGTTACAGAGAGTCCATCTCAACCCTTTCCTCCCCCAAATTATTAAAATTGAACCCACTGAAGCCTGGCATGAGGATGCACACATATAATCCCTACACTCCAAGAAACTGAAGCAAAAGAATTACAGTTTAAGCCTGGACTGGGCAACTTGGCAAGAACTAGTCTCAAAATATAAAATTAAAAAAGGGCTGGGGATGTAGCTCAGTGTAAATGCCTCAGAGAGAAAGGGGGGGGGGACTAATTCAGGAAAGTGACCTACTTGCTCCAAAACCCAATTAAGAACTTTTCCAGATGGTAAAGGGCAAAATATGTGGCAAGGGACAAACATATGAGTAGGATATTCACTAAAGTAACCTATGTTTACTTTTATTAGTAAAATTCACACCCTAATGTGAAATTTTAAAATTGGGTCAAATATGAAAAGGCATAAGAACATAGATATAGCTAGATGTGGTGGCATAGACCTGTAATATCAGCATCCCAAGTCCGGCATAGTCAGTTTAGTGACTTACCAAAAGTCTCAAAATTTAAAAAAACTAATTTTTTAAAGGGCTGGGGATATAGATTAGTGTGACGGCCTTGAATTCAATCCTTAGGACGTAACAAAACAAATCAACAAAAACACAGGTGCAACTAAAACTCCACCTATACATGTGCTACCCCATAGATCCATAAAAGCTATATACTATTTTTTTGGGTTTTTTGAGACAAGGTCTCACTATATAGGAATCACTATGTAGTTCGGGCTGTCCTTGAACTCACTAGGTAGTGCAGGCTATCTTGCAACTCCAACTAATCCTGCTTGAGCCTCCCAGGTACTGGGATTATAGGGATGTGCCATCATGTCTGGCCAAGCAGTTTATTCTTGTCCTTTGTTTGGGTCAATCTGGGACCATTTGAAAGCTGTCAGTGGAATTTTTTTTTTTTACAGTTTTTTTTTGTCTTTTTCCTTTTTATCGGTACCAAAACCTGAATCCCAAACATGATGATAACAAAATTTAAAAGAAAAATCATAATAATAAACAGTGTAGTGGCACATGTCTGTAATCCCAGCATTTGGGAGGGTGAGGCAGGAGAATTGCTTTGAGTTTAAGGCCAGCCTGGGCTACAAAAGTAAGTTCAAGAATAGCCTGAACTGCATAGTGAAACTCTGTTTTAAAAGAGATTAAAAAAAAAAACTAATAAAAAATAAAAAGTCTGGGTGTGGTAGCACATACCTGTACCCAGTACTTGAGAGGTTGAAGTAGGAAGATCTCTGTAAATTTGAGGCCAGCCTGGGCTACATAGTGAGTTCAAGGACAGTCTGAACTACATGGTAAGATTCTGTCTCAAAAAAATAAAACAAAACAAAATAATAATAATAAATAAAAAGTTATTAGAGAGGCTCAACAGAATATCCAAGATGGCAGAAAAAAAGGATCAGCAACCATGAACATGAATAAATAAAACTTATACAATATGAAGAATAGAAATAATAATTAACAGTCAGCAGTAGTGTTACACACCTATAATCCCAGCACTCGGGAGGCTAACGCAGGAGAATTGCTCCAAGTTGAGGCCAGCCTATGGCGACATAGTAAGTTAAAGGCCAGCCTGAACTATAAAGGGAGACCCTGTCTCAAGAAGAAAAAACAAACTAGAAATCTGCATGGGATATTATTCTTATTTATGTAGTCAATCATATTTCACTTTGGTGCATAGATACTTTATACTTTGAATTATAACCCAATATTAACTTGTTTTGGTACCAGGAATCAAATTCACAACCTTGCTCTTGCCTGACAGGCATTTATGCCTCTGAGCTATATCCCCAGCGACCTATTTTGTTATTCAAATTATACCAGCTTTGGGAATTAGGAGCTCTTTCAATTCTGTTATGTCCCTTTGAACTATCACCATTACTGTGTGGTGTTTATGTTTTCTAAGCACTTTTCTGCTTTCTGGCCATACCAGGTACTCCAAGCTCATCTTCCATGTACACTGCTCAAGCCTAGAATTAGAATCAGCCATTTCTTCAAGATCATACTGAAGGTATTTGGGATTGAACACAAGGCCATCACACTGAGCAAAATCCCCAGTGCTTTTTTATAGACAGATTTTGTGAGACAGTTTGGCCCTGAACTCACTTTGTAACCCAGGCTGGCCTCAAACTCACAGTGATTCTCCAGCCTTAGCCTCCCAAGTGCTGGGATTAGAGCTGTGTGCCACCAGGCCTGGCTCCCCTAGAACGTTTTTATTTATTTAGTTTTGAGACAGGATCTTGAGAAGTTTCTAAATTGCCCCACCTGGGCTCAAATTTTCAGTCCTCCCGCCAAAACCTACCAGAATGCTCTGATCATAAGCGTGCACTGGCAGCTACCACCCACCGCTATGTATTCTTAGACATTAGAAGTATAATCACTGGGGTAAAGAGTATGCCCGACTGTCTTACAATTTATAGTATCTCTAGATATTTTTTAAATTGGTATGGAGTATTGAACTCACAACCGCCTGCTTGCAAGGCAGATGTTTATGCCGCTGAGCTAAATCCCCAGCCCAGTATCTTTAGTAATATATTAGAATAAGTGTTTCTCTATATTCTTATCAATACTTGGTGGTTTGATTTTAATAATCTTGGCAGTTTAGTAATACATAATTCAAAGATTAAAACTGCTTGGTTTGAATGACTATTCAAATAAATTAGAGCTAGCTCTCTCTATCTCCATCTAGCTATCTATCTAGGGATTGAGTCCAGGACTTTCACCTGGAGCTCTATGGCTTGCACTGTCCCCTCCATTTTAAAATTTCACTAAGTCAGTAGGTTGCCCAGGCTGGGCTAAAATTTGCTCCTCTTTCCTTCACCATTCCACAGTGCTGAGGTTACAGCCATGTGTCATCATATCTGGTGTAGAATATTACTTAATCTTCTCCAAGAGTATTGGAGTTCAGATGTTTCTAGACAATGACCACAGCCTTTGTTGGACTCTTAGTAGAGCAAGTGTTTTTGTCTGTC